GATTTATGCCTAATTTAACTTTCTAAATTCTTTTCTAAAATTCTCGTACCCTAATAAACTATTTTTAAGCCTCAAATCATTTCTAGTATCACAATTTCATCCTTCTATATTCTAAAAATTCGTTTAAAAATAAATTAAAAATTTTAAAATTATCCTGAAGCCTCAAATCACCTTTCTATAACCTCAAAAATACCTATTCATATTTAAATAAATATCTAATAATCAGAGGTTCATCCCTACATCTCAGATTCCACATAAATTCAACCATATAGATCTAGATTTTAACTCAAAAATTCTTAAACATGAGTTTCAACCTCAAGAAAATATTCTATAATATTTATTATATCCCTAAGAGTTTTAACCTATAATTTTACTCTATCATATCATCAAATTAACTATCCTATAGAAAAATTCTAATCAGAATATTTACTCTATCCTACAAAATAATCATATCACTAAAAAGCTAATATTATTTAGAAAATAACTATAAAATTAATTTTGTAATTAAATAAATTTTTAAATGCTAATCTAAACAGGAAAGTTAGAACATACCTGAAGAAAAAGAAAATAATCCTCCCTTATGAGAAAACGCCGAGCAACGTGAGAGGAAGAGAAAAAAATAATATAAAAATGGGATTATGGTCCCAAAATTATATTAAAAAAAACTATAGGTTTGAATTTAATTATTCAAACCTTTGGGCCAAAAGTTGCAATTTTTTCTAAATTGTATCTTAGCCTCTCATGCTTCCTAATGCACACACCCCCTCCTTTTTATACATGAAGACACCTCTTCTCTTCCCTCATCTAACCAATGTGAGACTTAAAAACAATAACCTTTCACCCCCCTTTTTTTTTTCCTTTTACTTTCTCGTTTTTTTTAACACACATAAAAAATTATTTATGTATTATATCTTAAATAAATATTGCTTATGTGATTTTAAATTTAAATTTTTAAATTTATAATTAAATACCTAACCATAATATCATTTCTAAATAACCTCAAATGATATAAATTCCTATTATTATCATTTTTTTCTTAAAACCTAAATTCTACAATTTCTTTATTATATAAAAATCAGGATGTTACAACTCGAGTTTTATTATTTTAAATTCACTTACCTTTACTTTATTGGTCTTAACTCTTATGCTATTTTACATGCTGTTCACATCATTAATCGTCTTCCTGCCTTTTTTTTTTACAACATCAAATACCTTACTAACTTCTTTATAACGTGTTTTTTTTTAAATTTTTGTGTCTTTAGTTCTCCTGATTTGCCTTCACTTCAGTTTCTTATCACGCTAAATTTGATCATTAAGCTAGGAAATGCTTTTTTTTTATTTTCACCTTGACATTAAAGGTTTTGTATGTCTTTATTTGCATTCTCACAATATTTTTATTTGTTGGTATGCCATTTTCTATGAGACTGCATTTCCTTTTTCTCTATCTTCTACTTCTCATTCTTCTATTGATATCGCTTCTTCGTTGCCTTTATATTGCTCTTTTTGATCCCATAACCCTCCTTCCTACTTGCATGATTATCATTGTTCATTCCTCGCCTCAACACCATCTTCTTCTCTTAGTCCAAATATCCATTTTCTATTATCTTTTGTCCTTTTTTATAATCATCTTTCTCCTTCCTGTACAAACTTTATTCTCTTTGTTTCTGCTTCCTTTAAGCCTAAGACACATAATCAATTAGTAAAATATCCTAAAATGCAGGCTAAAATTTTCCCTCCTGAGCAAAATAATATATGGATCTTGACTGGACTCCCTGCAGGCAAACATCCCATTAGTTGTAAATGGGTGTTTAAATAGAAGTTTAAAGATGACGATTTTTTTGATAGGTATAAAGGCTGTTTGGTCATTAAAGGTTATACACAAATTGAAGGGGTTGACTACTTTAATACTTTTTCATTTGTAGCAAAACTAATTACAGTTCATTTAGCTTTAGCATTGGCAACTACCAACTTTTAGCTTTTTAAGCAATTAAATGTCAATAACACCTTCCTTCATGGTGATTTAGATAAAGAGGTCTATATGGCTCTTTCTCTTAGTTTTAATTATCTATCGTCGAATACTGTTTACAAACTTTAAAAGTTTCCTTATGATTTAAAGTAGGCTAACCACTAATGGTTTGCTTAGCTTACAACTGCTCTTACTTCATATAGTTATCTCCAGTTTAAAATTGGTTATTCTTTATTTGTCAAGAAGACTAATTCTTCATTTACAATGTTATCGGTTTATGTTGATGCCATTATCTTGCCTAGTAATAATTTTATTGAAATTGCCAATATTAAAAGTCTTCTTGATCAGTTTTTTAGAACCAAGGATTTAGGCCAACTTCGCTATTTTCTTGGTTTGAAAATAGCTCGAATGTCTTATGGTATATCTGTCTGCCAATGGAAAATTTGATTTTGACATTCTTTCTTATTATGGTTATCTTGCTTGCAAACTAGTTTTTAACCCCTGTGGACAGGCTTGATAAGCTCTCTAAAGATTATGATACTCTTATTGATGATCCATTTACTTATAGGTGTGATCACAACTCACCCCAACATTGCTTTTGCTGTCTAACAATTATCTTAGTTTATGTTTGATCTACATGGTACTCATCTACAAGTTATTCATCATGTTCTTTGTTACCTTAAGTCCTCTCTAAGAAAGGGCTTATTTCTCCCTATTGACTTTGATCCCAAGTTAAAGGCCTTCTTTAACCCTTATCAGGGCGATTGTGTTAGTTCTCGTTGCTCCATTATTGGTTTTTATGTTTTTCTTAATAAAGCTTTGGTTTCCTAGCACTTAACGAAACAATCCACTATTTCTCGTTCCTTTTCTGAGGTTGAATATCGAGCTTTTAGTTCTGTGATTAGTAAGTTACAATAGTTGCTATTTTTGTTACAATACCTTCTTATCTCTCATCTTTCTTTTGTGATAATCAATATGCTCTTCATATTGCCTCTAATCTTACTTTTCATGAGTGCAGTAAGCATATCAAATTGGATTGTCATCTTGTTTGTGATAAGCTTCAAGTTGGCATGATAAGCTTCGAGTTGGCACCATTCATTTGCTTCCCATTCGCTCAAAGGATCAAATTAATGATATCTACACCAAGTCTCTTAGAGCTGGTCCTTTCAATGATCTCCTATCCAAATTAGGCATATGTGACATGCATTCTCCAACTTGTGGGGATAACATAAGGCAATGATTTTTATTTATTGTTTTGTATAGTTATAGTGGTTATAACTATTTTATTTTTTGTTATTATTTTATTCTCTGATATATTTTTATTGTATTCTCTGATAAATCTTAATAGATCTTTTTTCTTTGTATTAATATATCTTATATTAAATTAATAAGATAAGTCATTACTTTTACAAATTTTATTACCCTTAGCCTCAACATTTGGATATAAAAAGAAAGACACACTTAATATAGGTAAATTTTAAAAATAATTTATTTAAATTTTTAATATTTGAGTCTTATCATATGCCAATAAAAATTAGTTTAGTTTTCCTTAATGAATAATCAGTGGAGTTTTTAGTTGGCAAAAAAAAAAAAGCAAAAATCAATAGATTTCTTACTTCCCAATAATACTGCTAATTTCATCCACCTAAAATATATAAATAATTATCTCTTTATTAACTGCATCTGTATATAATTTTTAATTTCTATGGACATATTTATCATTAGATACAATATATTTAACAACAAATTAGAGGAATTATATTTCATCAAAAAGAAGTCGGGAAATATCGATCATGCATCCTCTTTTTTATTAAAATTCTCTAAAATTAATAATGGTGAATTTATAAGTATTTTTTAGTATTTTTATTCATTTCATTAATTTTTATGAAATGTAATTTTTTATAAAAAAAAACTTCGTAGAAATTTACCAAACTTAATTTCATAGGATTGTAATCTCTTTTTAATATATTTTTTTTTGTTACAAATGAGATTCTCCTTGTGAGTGTGGATGATTTACGTCAGGTTTAATATATTTTTTCTTGTATTAATATATCTTATATTAAAATTAAGAAGATAAGTTACTACCTTCACAAATTTTATTACCCTTAGCCTCAGCATTTGGATATAAAAAGATAGACACACTTAATATAGGTAAAATTTAATAATAATTTATTTAAATTTTTAATATTTGAGTCTTATCATATGCCAATAAAAATTAGTTTAGTTTGCCTTAATGAATAATCAGTGGAGTTTTTAGTTGGCAAAAAAGAAAAGCAAAAATCAATAGATTTTTTACTTCCCAATAACACTGTTAATTTCATCCACCTAAAATATATAAATAATTACTCCTTCTGTTAAAAAATGTAAGACATTTTTAATCTTTCGAGGTGTAATTATTACCTTTTTTTTAAAGGTGCCCCTATTGATAATGACTTTATATTTATTGTAAGGTATTTTATAGGGGTAAATATGAAGAGATAGGGTTAATTGAAAAGTAGGTAACTACTTTATTAGGGGTGAGATTTGGTTAAAAATGCCTTATATTTTTTAAACAGAAGGAGTATCTCTTTATTAACTGCATCTGTATAGAATTTTTAATTTCTATGAACATATTTATCATTGGATACAATATATTTAACAACAAATTAAAGGAATTATATTTCATCAAAAAGAAGTCTGGAAATATCGATCATACATCCTCTTTTTTATTAAAATTATCTAAAATTAATATTGGTAAATTTATAAGTATTTTTATTCATTTCATTAATTTTTATGAAATATATTTTTTTATTAAAAAACTTCGTAGAAATTTACCAAACTTAATTTCATAGGATTTTAATCTCTTTTTAATATTTTTTTTTTTTGTTACAAATGAGATTCTCCTTGTGAGTGTGGATGATTTGCGTCGGGTTTATAACGGGCCTTTCAGTCTTTTTGCAGTGTTTTTTTTTGGGTATCTGGCCCAAATATTTAAATAATTTCAATTAAAAAATGAGAAAAAAAGGAAAAATTTCTTGCTCCTTCTCTCTCTGTTTCCTTGCTTCTCCTTCCTCTCTCTTCTCCCAGGTTCTATCATTTTCTGTATGCCAATAAATTTCCCGTTTCAAAAACCCCTAAAATGCACACAACACTCTGAAGAGCGTCAGGCCCTTTCTCTCGCTTTCTCTTGCAGCCTCCTCCAATCCCAATACCCATATCCAAACAGACCCTCATTTCCTCCTCACTACCGAGCGCTGTTTTTTGATCGGCACTTTCAACTTATCTAAGCCATTGGATGTGATTGACGTAGTGTCTCTTTCTGCATTTGTATATTGGCCCTTCCTTTCCAGTGTGTGCTACCGTGCTTCGCCGACACTTCTCAACGGTGTTGGGATTGAGGCATTTCCCTTAGGGTTTTAATCATCTAAACTATTTGTAATTAAACAAAATTGTTTCCAATTGTTCTTTTACTTTTTCCCTTTTGGGTTTCATTGTGTTTTATTATGGTCCTTGGGTTGTAGACCTTTCTATCATTGGTGGAACTCTTAAATCGAGTTTCTCTCTCTACTTTTGGGATTTATTTGGAAAACTTCGGACATTTGTGAAGTTGGATTTTGCAGTTGTCACCTTTTTTTTTTCCCTAAACTTAACTTGATATAAATCTCTATCTTGGTTAGTTTGTTGTATACTGGAAGTTTCCCTTTTGGTGGAACCATAGTTTTTAGTCTTCCAACTTTTTGTGTGTGGGGCTTTCACTAGTTTCGTTTTTTGTGAGTTACTTGGAAGAAGCTGTTGGGGAGTCATATTTGGGGGTGGGAGGTTTGCTGGAAAGAGTAGCAGGTGCAAGCAAAGGGAAAAGGTTAGGCTTGCATGGGCGAACATGACGGTGGGGAACAGCCACCAAGTGGGCTATTGCCGAACGGCTTGTTGCGCAAAGAAGCCGCCTCCGTGATAAGAGCACTTGATTCAGAGCGATGGCTAAAGGCTGAGGAACGGACTGCAGAGCTAATTAAGTGCATTCAGCCTAATCCACCCTCTGAAGAGCGCCGAAATGCTGTCGCAGACTATGTGCAGCGACTGATCATGCAGTGCTTCCCTTGCCAGGTAGGTCTTTAAGTGCTGTACAGAAACTCACATGCATTACGGCTGTTATCAGACTGTATAGGTTATTGGTTGGTGGGGAACTTTGACTTATAAATTCTGCACTTTTCTAGGGAGATCTATTCTATTGGTTTAATTAAAAATGTTAGGACTCCAAGCTTGATGTGATTTTCATAAAGAATGGTCTTTCTTGGTAAAACTTATGCAGTTAATTGGCCTTTAATAGTTGCGCACCGCTAACCCAGAAATGGCAACCTGTTGTTAAAACAGTGTATATATGATGTTCTAGTTCCACCATTGTTTATGGTTGTGGTAAATTGGAGGCTAGCGCAATCATTTTTTTAAAGTTCTGAATGTTTTTTTCATCCTGCCTTTCCTAGTGCTGAGGTTGATGGGCACCAAGCTTCTGTTTATTTCATTTAAATTGACGACATGATTCTGGTTCCCCTTTATTGAGCATATTTGATGATTGTTATTGCAGGTGTTCACCTTTGGGTCAGTCCCCCTCAAGACTTATTTGCCTGATGGGGATATTGACTTGACAGCATTCAGTAAGAGTCAAAATCTGAAGGATACATGGGCACATCAGGTTCGTGACATGCTGGAGAACGAGGAGAAAAGTGAGAATGCAGAGTTCCGTGTGAAAGAGGTTCAGTACATCCAGGCTGAAGTAGGTTCCCTAGTAACTGACGATCATTAAAATCGTTGATGTTTGTGCTCACAGTCTAGTTTAAACCCCATGTTATTGTTGGCTACTTTCTCTATTTGGTTGAAAGCTTCGGGTCATGCAAAAGTTTACAATCTTCTGAGTCTACCTCCTATTAAAGATTTAGAAGAGGTCTTATTCTGCTTCACATCAACACATTATGTGAAGATGAAATCATACAATATGTGAACACTGCCTCGTTTAAGAATGTAGCTGGTGGTTGGGACTTTTGGCTAACAAGTTATAGGGGGTGTATGATAAATTTCATGTGACGCTTTCCTTCTATATTTCAGTTTTCACTTGTGCTTCTATCTTCTTTTGATCTACTTGGGCCATAGTTTGATGAAAAGGTTACTTTGTCATGCTGCTTCTTTAAGTATTGATGTGAATTACCAAGATTTTGAAAAATAACTTGCATGTTCATAGAGAATAATAGAATTGTGTTTGAGATTTTTGAACTTTTAAATGATCTGCAATATTGTATAATGCATTATTTTGGACTCAAAAGCCAAAACAAGAAGCTACACTGTCTATTTCCAATTCCAATTCTCTCCTCTGTTTGCATTCACATGATGAATCAAATTTTTCAGCAGCATCCATGCACTCAATGTAGACTTTGAATTAGGGACAAGCGAAAACCAAGTGAGAGCATGAATAACATACTTTTGAAAGAATATCTGGAAGGGCAGTTACTGGGAATTGCCATTTGACCTTTCAAATAAGCATACTTTGTGTTCATATTAATTTCAGGACTGTCTATGAACTTGATTGAATAATGATTAAAAATCAAGTTTTAGGCATATTTTGGTGATAAAAGATGAAATTGGTAGACGATTTCTTTGGTTGATCAAGATTGGTTATCATGTCTAAAATCCAAGGGAGAGCAAAATAATAGCATACTTTTGAAAGAATTTCTGGAAGGGCAGTTATCAATAGTTGTCATTTGACCTTATAAATAAGTATGCTTTGGTATCATGTTGAAATTTGTTATTGTTGCAGAAGCTTAAGGTCCTAGCTCTTAGGACATTGGGACTGATTTATTCATGTATAAGAACATAACGCCATGATAATGATGGAATTTCTAGTTGTTAAGCATATTTATGTGATTTAAGCAAGGATATGGGGAGATGATTTCTGTTGTACTAAATACATTGTTGCACTACTTCATAGCTGCTAAAATAATATTTTACATGTTAAAAGTGCTGGTCAAGATCATTTATCATTTTTTTTTTTGCTACCAAGTTCTAACTGTAAAGAGACAAGACTATTCGTTTCTCCAATATCATTCTTATGGCTGTCTAGCTTGATTAAGCTTGTCTAAGCCCTTTTTTATTCCATTTTCTCTGGCCCCAGTTTTGGCTATGGGTATTTTATTAGTATTATGTCATTTACATCCATTTATGTTGCCTTTGTATTTGCAGGTGAAGATTATAAAATGCCTTGTCGAGAATATTGTGGTAGATATATCTTTTAACCAGCTTGGTGGGCTGTGCACCCTCTGTTTCCTTGAGGAGGTGAGGTGTTGCACCATCAAAGCCTCACACTGTGTCTTTTTCTTCTTGCTTCTCCTTTTAATTTGTTTAGGTACTATAATTTCTTGTCTTGACAAAGTTTGGGATTTTACTATTGTAGGTTGATCATCTGATTAACCAAAGTCACTTGTTCAAGCGTAGCATTATACTGATAAAAGCTTGGTGTTATTATGAGAGCCGTATTCTTGGTGCCCACCATGGACTTATCTCTACTTATGCTTTAGAGACCTTGGTTCTCTATATATTTCATGTTTATAACAATTCCTTTGCTGGACCCCTTGAGGTATTGATAATTAATGTGCAGTGTTTTATCTGGTGCTTTGGTTGATCTATTTGACAGGGTTATTTGTTTATGTAGGTACTCTATCGGTTTCTAGAGTTTTTTAGTCAGTTTGACTGGGATAATTTTTGTGTAAGCCTGTGGGGTCCAGTGCCTATTAGTTCACTCCCTGATGTGACAGGTAGTTGCAACTTGATTGAAGATTGATTTGTCAATTATAAAATTAGTTTGTCGTGCTTATTTCTTTCATATTGCCAATTGATTGTCTTCCTTCTTCCCTTTCAATTTTTCACAGCTGAACCTCCTCGTAAAGATGGTGGAGATTTACTACTCAGCAAGTTGTTTCTTGATGCCTGTAGCTCAGTTTATGCTGTTCTCCCAGGTGGTCAGGAAAATCAGGGGCAACCCTTTGTTTCTAAGCATTTCAATGTTATTGATCCATTGCGTGTCAACAACAACCTTGGGCGGAGTGTCAGTAAAGGTGTTCTGAACTCTAAAATTTGGGATTTGGGTTTATTTTATGCCTTTTATGTTACTGTTCCTCAGGTTTCTATTTGGGCTTGAGTTGCTTCATGTGTGAATCTGTTCATGTTGTCAATTCTCTATATGAGAAGGGTAGTTAAGCAAAATTTTACAAGGTTGCGGGAAGGGTTAGATTTAAGATACATGATTGCTATATTTACCATCTTCGGATAGATAGCTATATTTACCATCTTCGGATAGACATGGATGGCTGCTCTCTTTTCATTTCTCTTGATAGAGAAATGCACATAATAAACAAATTGTGGAGAATGAATTCATTATATGCAGTCTTTTGTATTTTTTTTCATTGGTTTAATATTACCAAGGATGTTTCTGTATGAATATTGGAATCCAATCGTGTTAGATTGTTCTGTATGTTGGTATTGCCTGTTAGAGGTTTTAATGAAATCAATCAGGGGCCTTTGTTTAATTGGCTAAACTTCTGGACTGAAGTGGTTCTTGACATGGAATCTTCCCTTTTTCATTAAAATGTTATTTGAGCACAAGGTATGGATTTCTGTGCTTTGTCCATGCAAAGTGCTTTCACATGAGAGGGCCTTTGCTTATTAATAGCCTAAGATTATGCTACTTGTGTGATTTGTTATTTTAAATTAGGAGAAATACATACAGGTTCCGTACAAGAAAATTAATTACTACAACGTTCATTAATAGCTGAACTAAGGCCATTGATTAAAACTAATATTTTATTGATTTTAGTGGTTAATTTGTCACTTTGCTTTCATTGGACTAACTTCTGCCACCTTTTGTTATGACTAATAACTGTTCATACGAAATGTGTTCCAGGTAATTTCTTTCGAATACGCAGTGCTTTTGCATTTGGGGCTAAACAACTGGCAAAGCTACTTGATTGCCCAAAGGAAGACTTGATTTTTGAAGTCAATCAGTTCTTTATGAACACTTGGGATAGGCATGGAAGTGGGCAAAGACCTGATGCTCCAAGCAATGACTTATGGCGTTTGAGGTTATCTAATAATGACCAATTACAAGGGTCTGAGAATCTCAGGAGCAATAGTAAAAAACATGATAATACTTCCGGTTGTGAATTTGAAGTTGGAGGATCACGTGGTTCACAAAATGGCTCATCTCAGCACAGTATTTTTTCCATGGAAAGCTCATCTAAGAGCGATGATATCTCTACAGTATCACGAACTCATAAAAGTTACAGCAACCAAGCTACTTCAAGGACCTCTGACAAGGTCAGAAGGGAAAGTAATTCTGTTCAAGGTTCTCATGTTGAGAAGGGTCACAGAAATTTTTATCTTGAGAGTCCGCTGACTGACGGTCAGGGAAGGTTTGTATTTGCAAGGACACGTTCAAGTCCTGAGCTAAGTGACTCATTTGGCGAAGTTTCTTCACAGGGAAGGTGTACAAGGGGCCCAGAAATTGGTAAGGGCCAAAATTTCTCTTCTAAGTTGGAGAATAGTCATAGGAAGAATTTTGAAACTGAAATGGCTGCAGGCCATGGCGTCAGAATTGATGATTCATCTCCTAGGCACATCTCATCCCATCAAGTACTTGATGCTGCTGATGGTTCAAACAGTGGTTCAAATAGTTACCATGAAGAATCAGCTGCAGGGGTCATGGGTGAAGAGTTTGCATCTGTTGCAGGTGCAGGAGGAGCACATGTGATGCATCAGGAGGAGCAAGATATTTTGAACATGATGACATCTTCTACAGCTCATGGTTTCAGTGGCCAGGCTCATGTTCCAATGAATGTAGCTTCAGGCCACCTGCCACTTCCATTTTCACCTTCCAATATCACTCCAATGGGATATGCTCACCAAAATATGGGTAATATTCCCTTGATTGAGGCTCGTTGGGGTACAAATATTCAATTTCCTCAAGGTTTAGTCCCAACGATGACTCCTTATTTCCCTGGCATTGGATTGACCTCAAATCCTGAAGAGCCAATTGAAAGCGGTAATGAGAATTTCAGTTATATGGAAATGAACCCAGGGGAACTTGATAATGAATTCTGGCATGAGCATGAAAGGGGTTCAACTAGTGGGGTTGAAGTTGATAATGGAAATATTGAAATGCGCCCTGATGATAAGCAACTGTCAACTTCAGGTGGTTATAACTTTGTCCCACCATCTCGGGTAGGAAATTCTAGCGAATTTTCTGGAGTTCAGCAGAAGTTTATTAGAGAAAATAGAGGATCAATGAGAGAAGAACATACTGATACTGTTCAGTATCAAGATAGCAGAGGAAATGAGGTTTATTATGATGATAGAACATCAAATTTAAGGCTGCCTGGAGGTCCTTCAAACTGTAGGAGTAAAAGCTCATCTGAAAGCTCTTGGGAAGGACTTTCAGCAAAATCCTCAAAATCAACAAGGGAAAAGAGAGGTAGGAAAAATTCCCCCTCAGCACCATCTGCTGTTTACACAAAGGGTAAGAACGTGCCGGAAATTTCATCTAATCTAGTGGATGCAGAAAACAGAGAGTGGGCTTCTCTGTCAACTGTGGCATCTGATATGTCAGAAAGAGGTACTGGGCCCTCTGCTGGTACTCCTCTGCATTTTCCAAGGCATCTACCTGGATTTGAATTAGCTCAGACAAGTGGATCAGATTCGCTGATACCCTTAACTCCAGTGCTTCTAGGCTCTAATTCTCGCCAAAGATCCGTTGATAATTCAGGGGCTGTTCCATTTGCATTCTATCCTACAGGGCCACCGGTCCCTGTTGTCATGTTCCCAGTATATAATGTTCCAGGTGAATCGGGAACCTCTGACACTTCAGTAAGCAATTTCAATGGGGATGAAGGTTTGGATGGCATTGATTCTGGTCAGAATTTTGATTCATCTGAGGGATATGACCAGCCAGAGGTGTCAAGCCCTTCTAATTCTATGAGAATGGCTATTGCTGAATCATCAGAGCACAAGTCTGACATTCTTAACAGTGATTTTGCTAGCCATTGGCAAAATTTGCAATATGGGCGGTTCTGTCAAAACTCACGTAATCCTCCTTCAATGGTCTATCCTCCCCCTGTTATGGTGCCTCCTGTTTATTTGCAGGGCCGCTTTCCTTGGGATGGTCCAGGAAGACCTCTTTCAGCAAACATGAATCTTTTCACTCAGCTTATGAACTATGGGCCACATATAGTTCCTGTTGCTCCTGTACAGTCAGTTTCCAATAGACCTACCAATATATACCAACCTTTTGTGGATGAGATGCCACGGTATCGAAGTGGGACTGGAACCTACTTGCCTAATCCTGTAAGATAAATTTCTAGGAAATTTGGTACTTTATTCTGCAGTATCCTTTTATCTCTATTAGCATTATCATTGGGTTACATTCAGCGTAACTCTTGTTTATAATGGGGGGCTTCTTTATCAGATCCGGAAAAGAATCTTGTTACTTGGCCATGTTTGCCTTACAAGTTTTCTATGTTGGAAAATAATGATGATGATAATGGAAAACCTATATTTGCTTTGTATTTATTAATGTTTTACTGAATACTTTTGATTGGGACTCACCAGAATTTTTTCCTTTCAATGTTTTTGTTCATGGCTGGGCAACTGGAACCGAATGGAATTGGTCTTGGCTCTCCATTTGTCTTCTTATAGTGAATTTTTAGGTGTAATACTGCTTCAGCAAAAAATTCCTTGCATCTCTAGATTGTTTTTAGTAACCACTGCTATATAACTTGTGGGGAAGTATTTCAGTTTTGTTTTCAATTTTAGTTGGCCACAGAGAATTTGAAATCATTTTTTTTTCCAGGAATGTTGATCGATGGTATCCTTTTGGCACTTGTGTTAGTTTTTGTTAGTAATTTACTTTATTTTCTTGATTACTGCAGAAGGTTTCTGTTCGGGATAGACATTCTACAAATACCAGAAGGGGAAACTATAACTTCGATAGAAGTGACCACCATGGTGATAGAGAAGGAAATTGGAATATGAACTCAAAGTTGAGAGGAAGTGTTCGTGGTCATAATCGCAACCAAACTGAGAAGCCCAGTTCAAAACCAGAATGGTTGACAACAAGTGAGAGCCGAGCAGAAAGGCCATGGGGTTCACACAGACATGACTCTTTCATTTCTTACCAGACTCAGAACGGTCCTATGCGCTCAAATTCAGCGCAGAACGGTCCAGCCAATTTGGCTTATGGAATGTATCCTTTGCCAGCCATGAACCCTGGTGGAGTCTCGTCAAATGGACCAACAATACCTTCTGTTGTAATGTTGTATCCTTATGATCATAATGCTAGCTACAGCTCACCAGAACAACTCGAGTTTGGGTCTTTGGGATCCATGGGTTTCTCAGGCGTCAATGAATTATCACAGCTGAATGAGGGGAGTCGATCTGGTAGAGCATATGAGGAACAAAGGTTTCATAGTAGTTCTGCTCAACGATCACCAGATCAACCCTCTTCACCCAGCCTCCCAAGGTAGTCCTCCTGTTTCTCAGGAGAATAATCAAATGTGTCTCGCAACACTCAGACGTATTTTATGGGTCTGATGGTCAGGGTTCTGGTATATATTTTGGAATTTATTTTAGTCCCGTGTTTTCCATTTTCCTGAACCCTGTCATTTTACCCTTAGATTAGTATATAGCCAAAAAAGTCTGTGATATTTATCTTAAATAAAAGGTTCTTGCTAGTTCTTTTTAAAACTTGTATTACTCGATGATGCTTTGATTTATTCTAAACGCGGGGCTTTGATTCTTTTGCCAGGTGATTTACTAGGAGTAATCATCAGTTTAGGAGGATTTTCCACGTCTTGCATGTATCAGGACAGGTAAGGGCTCTCAGTGGGGAAAACTATGACGGAAAAATGCAACTCCCTTCTGGAGATTGTTGTCTACACCCCACTCAGAATTTTGCCATGCGATCATCAGTTGATCCTTCTTCTAGAGGGCCCTTTCTTTGATGCCCTGGCTTTTGCTTGTGCAACTACAACTGAGAAACCCACGTCACTTAACATTCTTCGGTAAGGATGAAGACGGTGGGACAAAGAGGATACTGTGTTGTTAGTTTCTGGCCGAAGCTTTAGACACAATTTGTAATTTAATCACATTAGAATATGATTTAGGTTCAGAATTTAGAAATTTTACCATTACAGATTTCCCTTTTACACAATGTTGTAGGATTTTTGTTTAAGAACATGCAGTAAATCTCTGTTGAACTTTGAACAATTTTACAGTGGAGCAATAACATCGTTAGAAAGATGATATTAGATGTCATCCTCCTGTATCTTCTCTCAGCACCTTTCCGTGTACTAATAAAGATTTCACGTCTTCATGTTTGAAACTTGAGGGTCTGCCTCCCTTTTTTGGTTGCAACAGGTTCGATATTCGTTTAAAATGTTCAACTTTGTTGATGCTGGGTTAAGTATTTTGAATTTTGAAAAGAAGAATGATAGAGAGATGTCAAAAGCATTAATTAATTCAAGTTAGGTTTTAGGTGTTAAATTTTAGGAATTTACAATTCAATATTTCAATTTTATAATTCTATTGTAATGAATAAACTTTAATAGAAAAAATAAATGTTTTTATTCTTCAATCATATCAAAATTTAAAAATTAATTTATAAATTCATTACAAACAGTTGTTAAAATTGAAAGATGGATTTATAAATTTTTGGTATTTGATATTTGAGATTTAATTTAATTTATTTGGTCCTTTCGGGACCTCTATCATTCTCCCATTTTGAATTGTTGATTAAAAAAAAAAAAAAAACTGATGTGTTTAGGTAGTTTGCCCAAAGGTCCAAGATAAATAGGAAAAGTGCTCAAAATCCTAGACTGAAATTAATTTTCTTTAATTTTAAATTAAATTCTCGTCGTTATATTTATTAATAATTGAATATTAAAATCTGGTTAAAACGTGAAATTGCCTGAAATTTGTTTTCATTCTTTCTCAAGTTTGTATTTGACTTACTGTCCAGTACCTTTTATAATTTGATTCTTTTGTCGATTCACTTGAAGATTATTAGCCAAAATTCAAATTGTGTTAACCTAAGTTATAGTTATAACTGATGAAAATGTGATTTATTGATCAAGTTCTTTAGAAAAATGTGTCCAGGTTTTGTTAAGATCCTTCAAGGACCAAAAGTCCAAAAACAAATAAACTCAAATTTGAAACTATAAAAGGGAGTAAGAATGTCTATTACTGATTTAGCGAGTAAAACATAAAAAGGAATGTCAAGTACTGAGAGGGGTTATTGCTTTTCGAATCTAAAGATATATGACCAATCTAAAAGGGTGGTGAGAAGATCAAACTAAGAGTGAAAAATAGACTTGATTAAGTTAGACTTTAATTAAATAAGCTTAAATTTGTGTAATAATTAATAAATCAAAAGTCTAAACTGAATTGAAAGTCTATTTAAAAGTTTACTTAAAAGTAAACTTTTTAAATGAGCTTGCATTTTAATTTTAAACGTCTAAAATATACATTAAAACTATTAATATAAATATATAACATGATTTATCAATTACAATATATATAATACTTAAAAGGACTTACCAACTACTATACAATACAATAATAAAGCAACAATATTAAAATCAATATATAAGTTCAATTTGATTGAAAATATAACAAAAAGTAAAAAAATAAATTGATGAAAAATCAAATTGTGAAACTAATATATGTGTGATATATTACATAATATATTCTCCATCCGTTCAAAAATGTAAAGTATTTTTTGAGGAGTTGGATGTTAAAAAATGTAAGGTATTTTTAATCTTTCGAAGTGTAATCACTACCTTTTTTTCAAAAGTGTCCCTGTTAATGAATGACTTTATATTTATTGTAGGGTGTTTGATAGGAGCAAATATGAAAAGATAGGATTAATTTAAAAGTAATTAATTACTTTATTAGGGAATGAGATTCAATTAAAATGTCTTACATTTTTTAACAAAAGAAGTATATATATAGATGTATGTATGTAACCGGCCTCTTGGGTTCATAAGCTAGGCCTTGAAAACAAAGCTGCCTATTGAGCTAAATAGGCCTAATTAAATATTTGAACTTAACATGAGCTTATTTAATAAACAAGCTAGGTTAAACCTGAAGTAGATTAAGGTATAAGCCCTTGATAAGGGCTCAGCTTATTCCAACTTTTAGATCAAACAATACAATTTAAAAAAAGAAAGCACATACGTGGGCCCTTATAGTTTGTATTAATTTTTAATTAGGCCCCTCTAACTTTATTTGTTAGAATTAAATCCTTACACTTTCTCATGTTAAGTCTGTTAGCCCTTCTAGTCTTGAAACCCATTTACATGGTTTATGTTAACGGAGTAAGATCTGACATGGCTGATGACTATGCACATACTTACATAAGTAATTTCCATAAAACACCAATACTTCAAATTGCCTCGTGTATTTATATCCATATTATGTCCGATATCGATACTTCAATATATATCCATAGGTTATAAAAATATTATTTTTTAATTTTAAAATATTTTAATATCTAATATTTTTAGATTGCAAGTTGATACTTCAAGACTATTTTTAAAAAATTAAATTGTATTAAATATTGAGATGTTAATTTTTTTTATTTCTAATATATTTCTATGATTTGCTTTAAAAGTCAAAAATTGAATTTTCCTTTAAAAAAATAAGTTTTATATATAATAAAAGGATAAAAATTATATCTTTTTAATTATAAAAAATGTAAGAATATAATCTTTTGGCATATAAACATTAAGTAGGAAACTATTAGCAAAGATTAGGTGGTAAGCAATTAGATAGAGATGAAATAAAATCATAATTAATGATTACATTTTGCTTAGTATTACTATAAAGAACTATACATATATGCTAGGTTGGATATTTTTTAAATTGAAATTATATTTTTAATGTTTTATTATCTTTTTATAAATATATTTACACATGTTGGAAACATATCATATTCTATATTTTTAAAAATAAAAGTATTAATGTATCAAATATGTATCGTATCCAACACGTGTATTGATATCTGTTCCAAGTTCTCATGGGCTCGCTCCTTCTATGGGGTTCTTCTACCTTGGGCTCAAGGAGGTCCGAGTTTGATTCTAATTCCAAGGACTTCCACGATGCAGTAGAGTTCCATAAATTCTTGTCTCAGACGCGAGGTAATGATTTGCATGTGTTCTCCTTCTCTTAAATAGGCAACTTGTGGGCTCAGCAAAGCACTTTTGATTGGAGAAGCAGGGCTTAGTTGTTGAGGAAATGTAGTAGAAAACTAGGAACAGATACCAAGGCGCGGATTTGGATTTGTGTGCGTTCTTGAACCAGATTTGGATTTCACTTCCCTAGAAATAAACCCATTCATATTGATTTATAGTAGGCCCATTGGATATGGTCCAAATATTATGCAATTTTAAGTTGACGAAATTCTAAAATTGGATCTCTTCTTTCCTCAACCATTGATATTTATAGCTGACATGGCTAACAACGAACAGAGGGATCAACCAAGCAAGACGAAACAACACAATCGCTCTCCCCCTGGTTCAATGAAACACGACCTCTACCCTTGGACGATGAACTAGCAAGACTGGCCAAACTTTTTTTTTACTATCCCGCTAGGCAAAGATCTACGTGGCAAAATTAATCCATGTATATGTTAAGCACTATGTTGTGTCTAAGTTAGCCACATCAGATTTTTTTTTTTAACAATGTTAAAGGTTAAGGGCCAATGGACTTGATGTGAAAGTGTAAAGGTCCAATTCCAACAAAGAAAACTAGAGGGGCCTGATTAAAAATTAATGCAAACTGTAAGTGCCCAAAATTACTCGTCAGAAATCACACGGACAGCATAACCTATTTGGAACGTAAACCAGGTATATTTCTGAGGCCCATCTTGCCAAGGACTAGCTTTGGAATAGCGGGAGGGTTATCAAGCCCCATGCTTCTACTGAATTCATTTGCCAACTCCACTAGCCTATACTTGTCCTTCCCCACTTTCGAGATGGAATTGTAGAAACCAAGCCAGGATTGATACGCTGCTTCCTTATTCTTCATCTCCACATGGGCTAGGGCCCTTTCCACCTGTTACGGCATATAATATTGGATTAGCTTCATGTTCATTCTAGTCATAAACCTGCCAGAGCATCAGAATATACGCGAGAATTTGTATCCGTGCAAATATATACCTTTTTCTGTGTGTCAGGATCAATTGAAGGTGCTGGAGCTTTTGTAATGGGCAGATCCTTTACGGCAGATAAAAAGAATTCTTCCCAAGGAGCTAGCAACAGTACGCCTTGCCCTTCTTTACCTTTCCGCCCTGTTCGACCCAGTCGGTGGATATACTGTTCTCTATCAGCTGGTAAACCCAACTGTCCATTTTGATAACAGTTAAGCAGGGTGTCAAAGCAACAATTTTCATATTATGTAGTAAATAAATAATAGCTACATATATATAATAAATTAGAAAAATTCTGAAGCTGAAAGGACACTTGAAAAGTTCAATGCTTGAGGAAAGGAGTTCATTTATAACCTGTATAACCAGAGTGACGTCTGGATAATCAACTCCACGGGCAGATACATCTGAAGTTACAAGGATAAGGCCCTTGGACTTCCGAAACTCCTCAGAGACCCTGGTTCTATAGTTCTGAGGCTTTCTTGAATGAATTTCTCTCACATTCAACTTCAACTCACCAAGAAGGTCAGCAACAAGTCTTGTGACCATAGCAGTTGTGCAGAAAACAAGAACCTAATAAATAAATAGCAAAGGTTACATATCCTCCCAGACATGTGCCTTGTTATATGTAAGAGTTCTAGAATCCGGGACAGCAACATCCTACATTCGACATAGAATGTCTTGTTTGCAATCGTACTGTGCCTTGACAGTAAAGCACAAAACATTGTCAAACAACTGGTTTAAGATTAGGAAGCGCACCTTATAGTCAACATCGTCAGCAATATGCTCCTTTAGAAGAAGGTAGAGCAAGGAGAAATGTTTGTCTAATGGTGCAACTAAGTGCCTCTGCTGAACCTGAACAGATCAACCGACCCACATGAACAAACGAAAGGAAAACATGCACCGGTAAGTACAAATGCACATGTGTGCTCGCTAGTGCTTTATAAGCAAGGAATGACAAACAATTACCTGTGAATGTGTCTCCTCACTACCCTCTTCAACTGTATTGATAAATTCATGATCTCTTCTCAATGCAATATGGCAGACTTGACGGACCTTCACACAATGAAAAAGAAAAAAAAATCCCTTCAAAATAGCTCAGTGAGCTTAC